TGAGGCACAGCAGTCCAGGGACAAGGACTAGAAGGCAGGAGGGGACAGGAAAGCTGGTGATAGGGAACCCAAGGTTGAGAAAGGACAGTGTTGACAGGTCGTGGAGTTGTTAACCATTGTCATAGGGCAAATATGTGTACTAACTGTTAAATGAGAAACTATTTTGTTCTGTAAACCTTCATCTAAAGTACAAAAAAAATTATGTGAGATCAAATTGACAACAACAACTCAAAGTTTTGATGGGAAGCCTAGGGGACAGTGAGTTGAAGACAATGGTGATGGAATAATTCGGACAAGGATAGTGAGAATAGCAGCACAACTGTAAGAACGTAATCAATGTCACTGAATTGTACATGTAGAAATTTTTGGAATGGTGTATCTTTGGCTATGTATATTTTCACCAAAGGAAAAAAAAAAAAGGTCCTCCAAGGTTGAGAAGGGAGAGTGTTGACATGTCTTTGGGTTGTTAACCAATGTCATAAAATAGTATGTGTACTGTTTAATGAGAAACTATTTGTTCGGTAAACCTTCACCTAAAGTACAATAAATAAAAAAAATAAAAAAAAGGCTTTCTGGAAAAAAGATCTGGCTACATTTGTTTTACTCCCTGCTTTTTCTGTTTATAAATTCCCTGTAGCAAGTGAGGCTTTAAAGATCAGGTGGTTGTTCTTGGCTGGTTTTTAAAATCCATTTCCTCAAAAACTGTAGTTGTGGTATTCAAAGCATACCTCATGTGTTTTGTTTGTGATAAGGGTGCATGGGATGTATTAGCAAAAGGACTTGCTATGGCTTTGCCTGTAAAATACAGTAAGGCATAAATAGCTCTTTTTTGCCTGACATTCTAATACAATAATTGACACCATTTATTGAGCACTTAGTATGTACTGGGCACTATGCAATGTTTTTGCCCCATTTTTTGTCATTTAAATCACACAGCAACTCTACAAGTCAGCTAATTCCCACTTTACAAATGAGGAAAAACAGATTAATTTGCCCAAGGTCACAGAGCTCATAAATGGCATGGCCAGGATTTGAAACTAGGTCTTTATCACTCCAAAGCTCAATCTCTGCCTCATACATTGTATCTGAACAGTCAAAATAATAGACTGGAGTAATCATAAAACAAACAAACAAAACAAAACAAAAACCAAAAAACCAAGAGGGGGAGTTACAAATCAGCAAATAAAAAAAAAAAAGAGTGGAACTATAATTTTAAAAAATATTGTTTTCACTAAAAAAAGGAATAGGGGGGTGGAATATGCACCTCCCCAGGTAATCCAGTGATATCAGATTTCCCATAACGTCCAGCTTTTAAAGCTGGCAGGGCTGTGGCCCTCAGCCCAAGACTCTTCAGCTCTTTCTCATGGGAGTTATGACATCTCCCTCCCCTCAAGTTTATTTAGCATGCCAGAATCTTTACACCCACTGTACTGAAGGAACAAATGCCTAACATAAGAGTCCTTCCACTATAATATTTTTTTCCAAGAAAAACTTAACAAAACAATATAGCAGTGGATTTCTGGACCCCAGCCTACTGACTTCCTGGTACCACATACTGACTTCTGGAACCTACCTACTAGTTTCTGGACCCCATACTGAATCTCTGCCTATCTACGCAGCTTTGTGATGCATTGAACAAGGAGGAGATCACATGGGAGGTCAGTGCAGTCATCAGGCAAATGTTTTGCTCCCCTAAAGTTACCCTTTTTAGGTTTGCTCCTGACACTCTGGCTTATTTATGCAACTTTTCGCTTATGTAGACGTGATTACCAAAAAAAAAAAAGCCCATTTCTGTCGAGTCGGTTCCAACTCACAGTGACCCTATAGAACAGAGCAGAACTGCCCCCTAGGGTTTCCAACAAGCAGCTGGTGGATTTGAACTGCTGACCTTTTGGTTAGCAGCCTGAGCTCTTACCCACTGGGCCACCAGGGCTCTGGGACTGTGATAGTCCCGGCCAAATGAAACATGAGACGTCTTAAGGCCTGCTAGTGTCACACATTTTGGCAGTTCTTACTGGAAGTAGAAAGAATAGCTGTAAGGGGCAGAAAGCTATATTTCTGGATGCAGGCTTCCCCTCAGTGGAGCCCTTCTGCTCTTGAGGAGAAACTGTATCCGTTCATGAGTTAATACATGTAAAGCATTTAAATATATAACTTTAGTTTTATAGCATAACTATATAAGTGTTTGCTATTATTATTCATTTGCGTATTCATTTAGTCATTCACTCTTTAATGTTGGCCTACTGTGTATACACACACATACACATGCATATGTGTATTTATTTATAGATTTACTTCTTGCATATTTCTATAGAGCAAGTGTAATAAAATATCTTACGTTTGCATAGCATGCCATGGTTTACCAGTACTTTAACAACAATGCTAATAATGGTAATATGATAGCGATAATAATAGCTATCATTTATTAAGTGCTTTACATGCATTGGAGCCCTGGTAGCGTAGTGGTTTAGAGCTTGGCTGCTAACCGAAAAAGGCTGGCAGTTCCAATCCACCAGCTCCTCCTTGGAAACCCAATGGGCAGTTCTACTCCGTCCGATAGGTTGCTATGAGTCAGAATTGACTCGACAGCAATGGGTTTGTTGTTGTTGTTGTTTTTTAATATATATGTATTATTTCATTTAATTCTCACAACAACCCACTGAAGCAGATATTATTATCCCTAGTTTATTAAGAGGACTGTATGCCTTACAACATTTAAGTATCTTGCCTAAGTTTACACAGTTAGCAGGTCACAGAGCTGGGTCATCCCAGAAATGAACACCAAGTGCAGTGCTCTCTCCATAACTAATTCACAGAGTGAATGAAATAGTGCCACACAGGCACACTGTATTGTGTCTTATGAAGACTTAAATTGGACTCATGTGCTGCTACCCAAAAGGCCAATATAAAACCCTGTGATGCAAACAGATAAACCGAATGATGAAAGTAGACACATGCCTGACACGTGGAGCGGATCGATATTTTTAACTACCAGTCTGTCTAGTGGGATGGGTTGATCGAGTACTGTACATGAACCACCCTCTTTTATTACTGTTTGCAGCTCAGGAGTAAGTGAAGGACACATTAAACCAGTGTCAGAGCTTCCAAGTTTCTGAAATTAAATAGGAAAATAATGCAGTAAATAAGCAATAAATACTGGTGCACAAATCTAAAGTGCATATTAAGCAAACACATTATAGAGACAATCATGAAATCCAGCTTACTATTCTTTCTGGATCTTGAAAAACATTTTCCCTAAACATAGTGATTTAAAGCAAAGTGTTTCTGATCTCCAAGTTTAATTACCTTAATAAAGAATGGTTGACATCCATAATTGAGAAACATTTAATTCACTATCACATCCTTGGAAAGATCTTCATTTACAGTATCTTAATCACTCGACAGTATTGAGTTGCATGAATGAGAAAGGAAGCCTTATTTTGGCCAACTCTGTGTATGGAATATAATCCTGCACTCTAAATAGATTCCATGCTCTGGAATGTGTAAATCGCTGGAATTGTTTTGAATATATAAGATGCTGATTTTTTTGAAAAGGGTGTAAAAGATTGTGATTTGCTTCATGTATAGTGAACACCAAATAGTAAAGAGGAATGTAAAACTGATAACATTCCTTATTTTGAAGTCAAGTTGTGAAGCCTGAAACCAAAATATTATGATATGGTATAAACGGACTACCATTAACTCTTGTTCTCTGATTTGAAGTGAAGTATTTGAAGTGAAGGTAGGCTGTGCTAGTGGCAAGATTTCTGAAGGGGGTAGAGATTTTTCAGAGCTTGGCTTATTCAGACATGCTGGTCTGGGTAGCTTAAAATAAGAGGTCATACAAATTTTGAAACAATGACTCTTAATTTTCTCCCACTTCCTCCCCAAACACGGATCAGCTATTCATAGATTGATTAATGGATGACTGTTTTATTGCTTAAAGATCCTTGGATTATTTAGTTCATCTAACCACCATGCCATTTAGAAGCTTAGCTTATTAAAAGATATGAGATATCTAGTCTCCCGATCTTAACATCTTCTGCATATGGTTAGTCATTTGGTACAGAGGAGAGTGGAATAAAATAACATTAGATGTCTCTGATGGTCTGAGACATATTGCTGCTCCTTCTCCTACCTCACAGGGCATGTTCTGAGCACCTAAAGGGGCCTTCCTTCCTGACACTACTCACTCACACCATTCAGGGAACAGATTGTCAAACGGCAGATTAGACTGAAAGTCTTGGGTGGACCCTGACCACAGTGACTTAATGGGTAGTAAAAATAACAACAAAAATAATAATGATAACCAATAATAATTAAATAATGTAAAAAACTCCTGTTCTCTGAAGAGATTTCGTGGCTGTAGTTCCAAGTTAGGGGAGTGGTAGTGGTTCAGTGGTAGATTCTTGCCTTCCATGCAGAGGACTCTGTTCTGATTCCTGACCAATGCACCTCATGTGCAGTCACTACCTGTCCATCCGTCAACAGAGGCTTGTGTGTTGCTATGGTGCTGAACAGGTTTCAGCAGAGCTTTCAGACTAAGACTAGGAAGAAAGGCCTGGCAATGTAGTTCCAAAAATCAGCCAATGAAAACCTTATGGATCACAACAGTCTGATGTGCAACCAGTGATGGAGATGGTACAGGCCTGGGCCTCATTTTGTTCTGTTGTGCGTGGAATTGCAATGAGTTGGAGGCCAACTTGACAGCACCTAATGTCCTCAGCTGACTCATTTTGTGATGCCAACTATTGACTGCATTTGGCTTCTGCGGTTCTTATATAGCTGAACACTGAAAAATCAGGCCTCCACCCCATCCCTCTCCCCCAAATCATCATTTCTCAGGAATGATGTGAGCTTTCAAATAGAAATGAGTGGTGGATAGCACCTCTTGGCACATGGCAGTAGATGGTGTAGAGGTGTCTCTCAGTCTGATAGCTTTGGTTGTGGTGGCCAGTCTGGAAGAGGAAAACGCCAATATGGACAAATGTATTTTGGCTTCTTTTGCTTAGGCCAGTCAGCCATGAAGTCCTGTGGCTTCTGGGATTTACCTTGATGGTATTACAGACTATCTTTCTAAAATGCATACTTCCTTAGACTTCCTTGAGAAATGTAATTTGCTCTTTAAATTTTTGTTGTTGTTCATAGCTATATAATTTAAAAAGTCAGTATTTTATAATGTATAAGATGTATAAGAATTTACACATTTGATGTATAAGAATCTTATATATTTTAAGTACAACTTATTGAAGTATTTAGAAATAGCATTTTACCTTTTTGTTGCGCTTAGTTTTTGTAACTAAGAGGAAATCATCAAATAGAAACAGATAGACATCTAGGAATCTTGTGCTTTCTGAGGAAAGAAAGAAAAGGTGAAATGGGTGCTAAAATAGTAAGCAGAAGGTTTTGTTTTTAGTCAAAGAATCTCTTAGAAAAAAGCAGGGTGTGGATTACGGTCCAGGCTCGCAGCTCAAGGCTCTCCCGTCTCCGGGTCAGACAACTGGGTTAATGTTAAATTGATTTCTTTATAAAACAGAGACTTGATTTGAACACAAGCTTCCAACTTTAAAGACACTGTATTTGTGATGCATTTCGTGTGGATCTAAGGTAACTTGGGTGGCATTGGTAATGGTTTTGACTAAACCTAGGAGAAATCCATTAACTAACTGAACTTGCAGCATTTTTGCCTCTGGATGCATCTGGATGGTCATGGCAAAAGTACACATTATAAGACAAAAGGTATTTTGTCATCCAAACTACTTACTTCTCAAGTTTTACAATGTGTGTATATGTGTGGAAATATTCTCCATGTAGTTTTTTATTGACAAACCTTCCTGATATTGCTTTTGATAGTTACTTAAGGAACAGAGGATTTTCTACTTTTTTCTGAAAAGATATTTCAGAATTTATACCAAATCAAATATTAGAATAAGCTATTCCCCTTCCTGTTTTACTCTATCCCTTAGAAATTTGAAAAAGAAATGGATAAATTTAATGGATTTCAGAGGAAAAGGCAGTTTAAGTAAATACAGGAAAACCCAGTAAATAGTCTATTTATTATCCATCCATCCATTCATTTATATTATTCTAGAAATTCTTTACCATATACTTTTACTCCTGAAAGCTAGGTGGCTAAGGCTAAATGAATAGATGAAATATTTAAGACTCATTTCTGCCTCCTCCATTTCTTTAAGTTTACAGGAAATGACCTCTGCCACTTACCAGCCAGGTAACCTTGGGCAAGGTACGGATCCTGCCCAAGCCTTGATTCCTCACCTGTAACATGGGATTACATGTACCTTCACTGCATAACTCACTGCAAGGAGACAATATGTGAATAAGCACTTTGATGTAAAACGCTGGGCATATCTATCCTCTGTTGCAGGTGAGGATTATGTCCCAGCCTTGACATCTAAAATACAGGCGTCCTTGGGTGGTGTGAACGGTTAACGCGTTTGGCTGCTAACCGAAAGATTGAAGGTTTGAGTCCAGCCAGAGGCATGTTACAACAAAGGCCTGACGATCTACTTCTGAAAAATCAGCCATTGAAAACCTTATGGAGCACAGTTCTACTCTGACACACATGGGATTGCCATGAGTCGGAATCTACCCAATGGCGACTTGCTTTACCTACCGTATAGTGGATTCTTAGTAAATATGTATTGAGTAAGGAATGACTCCCCAACAGCTCCCTACCAGATCTCACCCTATCAAAAATAGTTAACCTCACATCCAACAGGGCTTCACACACAGTATGTGCCCAATCAAGATTTTGTACATAAATGAATGAATGAATGAATGAATACAAGCCTCTCTGATAATCGTACTTATTGAGCCCTTTATTGTTCCAGATACTCTTCCATGTGCTTGCACATCTATTAGCTCATTTAATCCTCACAACAAAGAGAGGGAAAAAGAAGCATGGGGAGGTGGCTGTAACTAGCCCAGGGTTATGTAGGCAGAAAAGGTTGCACCGGGAATGCACTGGCAGTTGACCTCCAGGGCTCATTCTCCTAATGACTCTGCTGTAAGCCCATTCTCTTAGGTGGCTTCTGACTCCAAGCCTTTCTCCCTGCTCTCCTCTTCGTCTGGGATATCCTCCCTCCTGTCCTTCCACTGACCCCATCCTTTCTATCCCTTAAAGCCCGTCTCTAGTCCCATGTACCCCATGAAGAGTTTTCTGGGTACTCCAGCCTCACAGATGTCCTTTGATGAACTTACACTGCAGGTCCTGGGTGACAATGTTGGTTCAGTGGTAGAATTCTTTCATTCCATACAGGAGACCCAGGTTTGATTCTCAGCTAATGCACTCCATGCACAGCTACCACCCATCTGTCAGTGGAGGCTTGTGTGTTGCTGTGATGCTGAATAGGTTTCAGTGGATCTTCTAGACTAAGACAGACTAGGAAGAAAGTCCTGGAGAAGGTCTACTTCTGAAAATCAACCAGTGGAAACCCTATGGATGACAACAGTCTGATCTCCAACTGATCATAGAGACGGTGCAGGACCGGGCAGCGTTTTGTTCCAATGTGCATGGGGTTGCCATGAGTCAGCGGCCCACTCGATGGCAGTTAACAACAACATAACAATTTGCAGGTCTTGTCGTCATAGCAGTGCTTAATATTTGTTTCGCTTTTTTCCCCCAACTATTTCGTTTCCGCGATTATTTTTATATCCTCCAATGGTGTCTACCTAGCACAACATGGTGCGGCATATACTAGATTCTCTGATTGCCCAGCTCACTGGAAAAAGTTAAATGATGATGGTGATGATGATAGCAACAGACATTGATTTAGTGCTTACTGTATTCCAGACTTTGGACAAAGCTCTTTACGTATGTTATTTCATTTAACAATAATCCTGTGAGATAGATATTGTCATCCCCACTTTATAGAGAGAAAATAGAAGGCACTTAGCTAGTTATGTTGTGAAGTCTGAGTTGAAATGACTTCAGAGGATGCTTTCTGAATCACATCTTCCATCACCTTGGACATAGGCAAACACAGTTCCTCTTACCCTTCAATTAGGAACAACTGAACCAGCTGTCATTACAGTTGCAAGGTAGGGAAGATGTTAGGTTTCTAAAGGAAGCAGTTACTTACCTGTAAGAGTTAATTTTCCCTCATAGAGAAGGTGTCTGTTGGTTGGTGACAAGATGTTTTCTGCCATGTGTTCTTTAAAAATGTGTTTCAAGCACTTGCAAAACAAGGGAGAAAATCAAATAGAGATATTATTACTGATTGCAAGAGAACATGATCAAGGAGTTGGGGCAATGGACTCTGTATAGAAAGTTAAAATATTTGGAAATGCCAGTAGATGTTCAGCCTTGAAATAATGGAAATAGCTCTCAGAAGGACACCCCAAGAATGGCATGATGATGTCAACCTCCCACATACAACACCGTGTGGATAAAGGATTTACTTCTTGCTCAGAAAGCTAGACTTATTTTTCAAATGGACAGCTGGGGACTTTCTAGGACTATTGTATTTTCACCTGAAAGCCAAACTTCTGGAAAGGGACATAAGTCCTGATTGAGCCTTCTATACCTCTGGGATGAAAAACCTTTTATCTCTATCCCAAAGCGGCGGCCAAACTATAATCTCCTGTAGATGTCTAAGTTTTTGGAAATTGTCAAGCCACTTCACTTTTCCTTCAAGATCTCCTGAAAGACAAGACATAGCCAGGATATTTTTAAATTCATGTGACATTGCATCATAAATTTTTAACCAAGATCCACAGTAATCATTCAGAGACACTGGCTGCCACTGGAGCCAACTGTATCTTAGGTTCATTTAACATATTACTTGCTGTTTAAACATCTAAGACAATTCACTAATTTGAAATCAGCCTTTGGCAGAGAAAAATGAAGCTTAGCTAATTTAATTCAGTAAGTTGGAAATGCACTGTGCATTTTCAATTCAATAGTACCAACAAAGCCCTTTGTAGTTTTCTCTTATTTCCTATACCTCACAGCCTGTGTGGAAGAAAGGAAAACATATTGGATTAGAGGGAGAAAAAATATTGGACTAAAAAAGGACAAATGTATCTTTTTGTCTTAATTATAAAACATACATTTGTTTCTTTATAAGGATGATAATTTCTTTTTGGTAATAACTCATTTTTCTCTTTTGTAGATTTGTGTTCATTTTCCAACATTTTCGAATAGCCTGTTGCTATTAAGGTTTTGAAATGAAATTTTGAAACAGGGACGGTTCACAGACCCACAGAATCACATGGTTAGTGGAACTCTTGAGAATTCATCACCTTTGAGGCAACAGACTAAAAGGAAGGCCACATTCATCTCTTCCCTCCACAATGAGAATCTTTTATTAAGAAATCTCCAGGGGAGATACTGTTATCTTCTTCACAAACCTATCCAAATGGTAAAAATCCTCAAAATTATTTTAAACATCCAAAAAAGTCTGTCTTTAATATTGAATTTTTATCTTCTTCTCTTGATGATCTTAATTTTAATTCTTTGGGTCATTTTAACATTTGAGTAAAAAATAGAAAATAAGGAAATAAACTCCCAATTGAATGGTCATTTTACTTTTGAACTTGCAAGAGAGGGGAAAAAAGTCTGTACAGCTGTAATCAACAGTTTGAGTTTTTCTCTTTTGACGCCTTCAAGGAAATCTTGGTTAATGGGCATAAATAATGGACTTCTTTGCTTGAATTTCTATTATACAGAGCTACACCAATAAACTTACCATAGGGCTTGCTCAATTCCTATTCCCAAACTTCAGTTCTGGAAATTGGAATTATTTTTTATATTGGCCCTGGATTTTAGAGACCTAAACAAAATGATGAATAGCAATTTATCCTCCAGAAGGGCTTCCTGTGGTGTTTATTCCCACTTGCTTTGTGTGTGGGTTCATTATGGATGTTGAAAACAAAGTGCCTTCAATCATTTGGGAAGTAGAACTTTTCCTGCCTGAACTCACTTCTGAAACCCTTGGAGACAGAGCCACATCCTGTTGTAAACTTGGTGTGAGAGTTCTCATAGGGTTAGCCAAGATGTGACTGGAACCCATTGTTTTGTAGGTGTTTGATTTATAATGAACTCACACTCAAATGCACATTTCTGAGAACTGTGACCTCAGGTCAATGGAATTACCTTCTAGGATGGAAGACAGATGGTTCCCAGGAGCCACGTTGCCCACCCACCCAACTTTGATTAAGCTGCCATTGGAGCTCTGCATCACTGAGCTCAGGGACTTACGGATTGACTTTTCCACCTTTTCCTTGATGGAGTAGATCATGACTTTCTCAGTTGAGTCTGTACTTCTTTTCCAGATATTCTTCAGCAACAAGGGGTATCGAGTCAGCCTGTGTAGTGGGGCCACTAGTAGCTCAGGCAGATGAAGCCTTCTGCACTGTTCGTTCTGCTCACACCACTGGGAAAGGCAAAAGCAGATACATCAGAACATTGCCTCTCCTATCAAGGTGCTCAGAAGCCTGGACAAGGGAACATCTTAGAGGCTCTATCCAGTAACGACATGATGCACCTGTGAACTTGCTGGGAGAATTTATGAACCGTGGGTTAGACTTTGATTTTGACTTTAAATACATTTTAAATTTTATTTAACAAACATCTACCCATCATTGCCAAATTCAGGGTCCAAAATAGGGTTCTTAAAAAACAAACAAACCCATTGCTGTCAAGTTGATTTCAACTCATAGCGACCCTAGAGGACAGAGTAGAACTGCCCCATAGGGTTTCCAAGGAGCTCCTGGTGGATTCGAACTGCCAATGTTTTGGTTAGCAGCCATAGATAGCTCTTAACCACAGTGCCATCAGGGCTCCTGGGGGTTCTTAGATGTAGTTAATAAGTATTATTGAATATTACTGATTAACATTGTTACTTTTCAATTAAAGATGAAAGAATCCAGCTCTCACATCTCCTCAGCATCAACGATGAAGGAAGCAGCCACCAGAATCACGTATAAAACCACCTTTAATCCTCCTAAATAGGGAAACTGATCAAGATTCAGATGCAGAGGAAAAGTTCAAAACTCATTAAATCCCTCAGAGGGTGCACTTTCCATCAGTGGTGGTGATGAGATCTATTGATATATGTATTCCATCCTTATTTACCCTTCTCACCTAAGAGTTTAGTTTTTTCCATTGACTTCTTTTCCCTGGCCCTTGAGAAGATTTCTGGTTTCACCAGCTCTGTTCCTATCCCTGTTGTGATACACAATTAGGAGAATTGAGAATCAAGACTGGAGAGACAGAAGGGAAAGGGAAGGATTCTTGCTTGTTGGGTTAGTTCCTTGACTCGCCTTTGTTGGGGAGAATCAGGTAATGGTTAAAAATGAACAGAAAAATGAAAGTAGAAATCAAAGAGCCTAGACTGATCTATATGATAGAACAGAGAGGAGAGGGGATAGAGAGAAAGACACAATTTTCAATAGGGAGAATTTGGAATTGGGATTTGGAGAAGGAGGCAGTTGTAGGTGTGTGAGGCACTGGGTAAGACAGGAAAGGGACTTTTAGTAAGTATGGCTGTGGGCTATAAATTCAATTTTCATACATGAGATTTGAGAAACACAAGTAAACATGAGAATATCTTTTGTGTTTGTTTTGTCTGCTGAGCTGTTTCCTTGAATGTGACGTTGTCTTGAACCTGAGAGGCCCCAGCTTTTATGCAAGTGACACATGATACATGAAGGTGGGCTCTCTGGCTACTATGCATATAGGTACCTCAAGAGTATTATTAGTAGATGTGTTCTCTTCCCCTTCTCTTATCCCATCTACTCATACCAAATTGATCCTAAGTTCAGCTCTAAAGGGATCCTGCCCTCAAACTAAATATTTTTCTTGCTACAAGCTAGCACCTCTTTCCCCGCTTTTCATTCTTTGTCCAGGCCAAGGTTAGCTCCTTTGCCTTGTGACCCAGGGCTTCAGGGCCAGGCACACTGTAGGAGGCTCCTTCTGCTCCTGTGAAAACATTTATGCCCAGATGTCACCCTTGCAACTTAGAGATCTAGGTACAACTGACTAAAACACCCGCCGATCTCATGGTGTGGAAGTCCAAAGCCCTCCACCTAGAAATTTACAAATTCACAGAGACTGAGATTCTAATGACTTCTTCTGGCCCCGGACTCCTGTTTCAAAATGACGCTCTTCCCTGAATGGCATGGACCAAATGCCAAACTTAGCCTCTTGTTAGCTTCCACTGGAAATCCACTGATGGCAAACATTTGCAAGCATGTTAGGGATTGAATTGTGTCACTTCAAAATACGAGTTGGAATTCTAACCTCAATACCTGTGGATATAATCCTGTTTGAAAACAGTTTTCTTTTCATGTTGATTAGACTATACTCAAGTAGGGTGGATTCTAAATCTAATCACTACTAAGTTCTAAAAAGAGCAAATTAGACACAGGTATGCACACACAGGGGAAGACAGATGCCGTGTGAGGATCACCAAGGAAACAAGGAACAGCTAGGGCTACCAACAAGGAAGAAATCTACATGCCTGAGACTGTGATTTGGACTTAGAGCCTCCAGAACTTTGATAAAACAAATTTCTGTCCTTTAAAGCCACCCATTTGTGGTAGTTGTGTTACAGCAGCACTAGGAAACTAAGACAGAGTATATGTATTTATTTTACTGAAGAGTCTGGGGTTTTAGTGAGGGGTCAAATACACAGCCTCCAGTCCCCCACCATTTTGATGACTCCATTCTCTTCTTTGGAAAGAGAGAGTTCTTTCTGTCTCTGCTCCCCTCCAGACCCTCCCAGCCCTCTCCTACCTCATGCTTAGCAATTTTGACTTGTCTCTGATAGCTTGACTATGTCCTTGGGACTCTCACTGTCCCACACAAGCAGATTTATCCAAGTACTTCTTTTGGAAATATCCAGAGCTCTTCCTCACAGGCATTCTGCTGAATAGAATATTCTATGCTGCTTTCTATATGATAAGCCATGAAACTGAGCACAGTGTTGCATAACAGATGAAGCTCTAGAAGCCAGACCTCAAGGATCGGGGGGCTGAGGGATCACCTTCCCTTCTCCGTACCTCAGATTCCTCTTCTATAAAATGGTAGGAGGGTACTAGATGATCTCCAAGTTCTCATCCAGCAGGAAATGACAGCTACTCTCACCAGGGTTGGAAGGGTGGAGAAGAAAGCAGACTCTTGGGACTGCTGGTGTGGGAAGGCTAGCAGTGGTAGCAAGTGGAAGGAAGATATGCAGAGAGCGGGCCTGAGGCAATAGGACTGACTTCCATGCTGACTCATGTATTGGTAGTAGTATTCCAGTGCTGCCTGTTTGTTGGTCCTCTTGGGTGGCTAGGGAGTTCCAGTCACTGATTCCTTGGCAGCAGTTAGGGGCTCTCTCAAAACACATAAACTCAGGTGTATTAGTTTCCTGTGGCTGCTGTAACAAATTACCACGAACTGGGTGGCTTAAAACAACAGAAATTTATTCTTTCACAGTTCTGGAGGATAAAAGTCTGAAATTAAGGTGTTGGCAGTGTTGGTTCATACTGGAGGCTCTGCAGGGATAATCGGTTCCATGCCTCTTCCCTGCTTCTGATTGGCTGCCAGCAACATTTGCTGTTCCTTAGCTTGTAGACACATCACTGCGATCACTGCCTCTGTCATCACATGGCATTCTCACTGTCTCTTCTCCTCTTCCAATAAGGACACAATCATATGGGTTAGGGTCCATCCTAATTACCTCACCTTGACTAATTACATCTGCAAAGACTCTATGTATTTCCAAATAGGTCACATTCACAGGATTTCAACATAGCTCATTGAGGGAACAAACTTCAACCTATAATACCCAGGCAAATGCCCAAAACTGCCATGATTTAGGAAGCATCTCTGGCTGCAAGCACCCACTGGTATTAGGGTAAGTGTGGAACATCCTTTCTCTCCCAGGTATAAATCAAATGAGCAGCACCAATGGTTAATAATTTAGATGGAGATCCAGGTAGGAATAGTGGGATATTGTGGGAAGGCCTCAGAAGAAAGGAAAAAAAGATATCTGACAATAGTGTAAGTAAAGCTATGATTTTTTCTTTTATGTTTCTATTGACTTTATTTTTCAGATCCATAAAGGAAAGAAAAGAACATCTCTGACAAGAGGGACTGGACATAAAAGACCCTTTCATTGATGGGTCTATATCAATGGAGGCGGATTTTGCTTTATAATAAATATCCAGTGTGTTTCAGGGAACGATGAAAGGAGTGAAGGGGTCCAGATAAAAATGTTACCCTAATGAGTCTGTCTTGGCAGGAATGTGGCATTGGGCTGGGAGAAAGAGTGTTTTGGGAAATTTACTCAACCTCTCTAACTCTCATCTGTGAAATGTAGACAATAGAAGTACCCGCCTCATCAAGGATGGTGAGTGGTTTAGAAGAGATAAGCCATACAAAGTGTTTAGAACAGTGCCTGGCACATATCAAATACTCAGTCCATGGTAACGACTACTATTCTTAGCAATTGTTAGTTGAGCCACACTAAAAGACCTGGTGCAAACTTCTCAGTCTTTTTCTCTGCATCATTTTTTTTACATAATTTTTTCCCATACGAATATTTGTACATACATTGTTTTGTGACTCTAATTGCTCTCCCCATACTGTGACAGCACACTCCGCCCTTCCACCCGATTCCGCATGTCCATTCAACTAGCTCCTAACCCTCTGTGCCTTCCCATCTCACCTCCAGACAGAAGCTGCCCATTTAGTCTCTTGTATCTGCTTGAGCTAAGAGGCACACTCCTCACGAATATCAGTTTATGTCTCACAGTCCAGTCCAGTCCCTGTCTTAGTTCTGTTTTAGTTCTGGGCTGATAGAGAATCCAGGGGTCATGCTTTCTCGGGTTCCTCCAGCCTCAGTCAGACCTTTCAGTCTGGTCTTCCTAGAATTTGAGTTCCGCACTCCACCTTTCTCCTGCCCCATCTGGGACTCTCTGTTGTGTTCCCTGTCAGGGCAGTCATTGGAGGTAGCCAGGTACCTTCTAGTTCTTCTCGTCTCAGGCTGATGAAGTCTCTGGTTTATGTGGCCCTTTCTGTCTCTTGGGCTACTACTTTCATTGTGTCTTTGGTGTTCTTCATTCTCCTTTACTCCAGGTGGTTGGGAACAATTGATGCATCTTAGATAGCCTCTTGCAAGCTTTTAAGACCCTAGACGCCACTCACCAAAGTAGGATGCAGAACATCTTCTTAATAAGCTTTGTTATGCCAATTGATCTAGATGTCCCCAGAAACTATGGTCCCCAGACCCCTACTTCTGCTACTCTGTCCCTCAAAGTGTTTCATTGCATTCAGGAAACTTCTTAGCTTTCGTTTAGTCCAGTTGTGCTGACTTCCCCTGTACTGTGTACTGTCCTTCCCTTCACCTAAGATAATTCTTATCTACTATCTAGTTAGCAAATAACC